CTCTCTCTCTCTCTCTCTCTCTCTCTCTGTATTTCTTTTTCCCTCCCTCCCTCCCTCCCTCCCTCCTTCCCTCCCTCCCCCCCCCCCCCCCCCTCTCAGTATCCCACAGGCTCCCCACGTGTCAAACCCCTCCCCCCACCCACCGTGCCTCCACCTCTGCCGCATCCCCCGCTCCTCCTCCTCCTCCTCCGAGGATGCGGCAATCTCGCGTCGGAGATTGCAACCTCGCGTCGGAGATTGCAATATCGCGTGGGAGACTGCCCCCCCCCTCCTCTGCGCAGGCGTAGCAGGCGTGGTCAGCTGCTTGGGGAACGCCTCCGACTCGCTGCCGCGGTACTGTGAACAATACGAGTCCGTCTGGGCGGCAGCCGCCGCAAACTCTGCCGCACAGCCAAGCCCGCGGATGCTAAACACTCGCATCGCGAGCGCACCCAGCGCGCGCGAGGTGTGCCGCGAGATCACCCGAGATTCCCCGAGGCTCCCCGAGGCTCTCCGAGATCAGCCAGTGCGCGCGAGGTGCGCGCCGCCGCCGCACGAGGAGCGGACCCTTCCCCGACCCTTCTCGGACCCTTCTCGGACCCTTCTCGGACCCTTCCCCGACCCTTGTCGGAACCCTTCTCGGACCCTTCCCAGACCCTTCTCGGACCCTTCTCGGAACCTTGTCGGAACCTTCTCGGACCCTTCTCGGACCCTTCTCGGCGCGGTCGCAGGTGCTGCGGCTGCACGCGGAGTTTGGGTCGACCTTCAACGAGGAGGGCGTCGTGGCGTACTGCCACTCTCATGATCACTCTTCTTCTAACCACTTTGAATGTGACTCATGTTAAGGCGCGCGGCCGCTCGCACGCAGTGTTCACAGCTCCGTTCTGGCGGCCCAGGTTTCGTATTGTTGCAGGTGCACCTCTCCACGTCCTGGCGACGACTCAGCCGCCTCGCCACCGCCCCCGAGCGGCGCCCTCGCTCAGCGGGAGCCAGCGGCTTGCGAGGCGTCTTCTTCTCTCAGTCACAGCCTTCAATGACAATAGGCGCCTCTTACAGTGAGATATGGGGAGAGATGGGGGAGAGATGGGATACAGCTCTCTGTGACAGTAGGCGCCTCTTTCAGCGAGAGCCAGCTCTGCTCGCGCCGCTGCGGCTGCAGACCACGGGTTCGCTGCTGCTGCTGCGGCGGCGGTGGGGCGCGCGCGCGGTGGCGAGCACCGCCCACTCCCTCGCCTTGCTCAGCGATGCGATCGGAATGGTGGCTGCTATGAGGAGAGCTGCACACACACACTGTAGGCGAGCACCGCCCACTCGCTCGCCAAGCTGAGTCTGCACGGCGAGTCGTGGGAGGAGCTGTGAACAGGGAGCTGTGAACAGGAGCTGTGAATAGGGAGCTGTGAATAGGCGAGTCGTGGGAGGAGCTGTGGCGCGGGATCACGCTCGCCATCCCGCCGCTG